AGCCAGTGTTCTCGCCAAATTACAGAGCATGGCCATTAGTATCATTTGACTTCAGAGCACAGGAAATGACCCAGCTTAATTAGGAAACCTGACACCAACATCAGCCTGGAGTTGCCACCAGCCTGACCTATTCAGAATCCCAGGCTAGACTAAATAGTAAAGGTCTATCACCACCAACGATCACCTGGAAAGTCCAGATGATGTGGCTGTTTGCTTAAATGCACAGGCATCAATGTAAGGCCTCAAGGGTTATGTAAAATCAGGAAAATAGGACACCACCAAAAGAAATTAATAAAGCTCTAATAATGGAGCTGTAAGAAATGGAGATCTATAAAATGACTCAGAAAGGATTCAGAATAATCATCTTGAAGTTCAGGAAACTGTTAGAAAATACAATGAAATTTGAAAAACAATGCATGAACAAAATTAGAAGTTTGACAAAGAAATAGAACTAATAATAAGAAAAGGAAATCCTAGAGATAAAGAATGCAATAACTGAACAGAAGTATTCAATAGCAGACTTGATCAAGCACAAGAAAGAATCATGAGTACAAAGATAGGACATTTGAAATTATTTAGTCAGGGGAGCAAAAAGAAAAAAGAATGAAAAATAATGGAGAAGGCCAATGGAAGTTGTCAGACACCATCAAACAAACTAACCCTTACATAATAGGACCTGTTTCAGAAGGAGAAGAGAGAAAAAGGCCTAGAAAGCGTATTTAAAGAACTAATGGCTAAAAATTTTCCACTTACGGGGAAAAATGACAACATTCAGGTACAGGAAGCTCAGCAATTGTCAGTCAAATTCAACCCAAAGAGAAGTTCACGAAGGCACATAATAATCAAATTGTCAAAAAGTAGACAAGGAAAGAATACTGAAAGCAGCAAGAGATAAGAAACATAGCACATTCAAGGCTTTCAGCAGATTTCTCAGCAGAAACCCTGCAGACCAGAAGAGAGTGGGATGCTATATTGAAAATGGCAAAGGGGAAAAAAAAAAACTACCAAGCAAGAATACTTCATCTGGAAAAAGCTGTCCTTCAGAAGTGGGGAGAAATGAAAACTTTCCCAGACAAACAAAAGCTGGTTCATCACCACTAGGCCTTCTTTACAGGAATTGCTAAAGACGGTTCTCTGAGCTGAAAGAAAAGACTGCTAAGTGATAGCAAAAAACATATAAAAGTAAAAAACTCAGTGGTATAAGTAATACATAGTCACACTCATAACTCTCTAGTACTATAAGAGTGGTGTGTAACACATTTTTTTCCTACCATGAGTGTTAAAAGATAAAACTATTAAAAACAACTACAACTACAATAAAGTTTTAAGGGATGCGAACTACAAAAAAATGTAAATTTTGACATCCAAATCATAAAAGGGGGAAAGAGAGTGTAAATGTGGATTTTTTGTATGCAATTAAAGTTATTATCAGCTTAAAGTAGCCTGTTATAAAGATAAGCTGTTTTATGTAAGCCTCATGGTAAGCACAGAGCAAAAACCTACAGTACTTGCACAAAATATGAAAAGAGAAGATTCGATACATACTACACAGAAAACCATCAAACCATAAAGGAACACAGCAAGAGAGTAAGAAACAAAGAACGTACAAAACTATCAGAAAACAAATTAGAAAATAACAGTAGCAAATCCATACTATCAATTACCTTGAATCCAAATGGATTAAATTCTCCAATAAAAATTTATACTACAATGGAATGTATTAAAAAAAGATTCAACCATATGCTACCTACAAGAAACTCACTTTACTGCACACACAGGCTGAAAGTGAAGGGATGGAAAAAGATATTCTATGCAAATGGAAACCAAAAAAAGCAAAGGTAGCTATATTTATATGGACAAAATAGACTTTAAATCAAAAACTATAAAAATAAAGAAGTCATTACATAATGATAAAGGGTTTAATTCATCAAGAAGAAATAACAATTGTAGATATACATGGACCCAATATTGGAGCATCTAAATATAAAAAGCAATTATTAAATGAACTGAAGGGAAGAATAGACTTTAATGCTATTATAGCAGAGGACCTCAATACCCCACTTTCAACAATGAACATCATTGCTCATATAGACATTGATCATCTAGAGAGTAAGTCAATAAGGAAACATTGGACTTGAATAACACTGATTACACTGCAGCCTCAAACTCCTGGGCTCTAGGCAATCCTCCTGCCTCAGCCTCCCAAGGTGTTAGGATTACAGGTGTGAGCCCCTATGCCAAATAATAGTAATAATGATATTAATAATAATTTTTTAAATATCAAAATCATTTCCAAGTACTTATAGAATTAAGGTCAAATTCCTTGAATGACATGTGTATTTAAACAGTCTGATTCATGCTACCTTATGAACTGCATTTTCTACAATTTACCACATAAGCTCTAATTTCAAACCATACCAAATTATTGCTGTGAGGACACTATTATGGATCCCTAGTGACCCTTTTGATGTCAGATAATTAATCAAGAAAGGAGATAAAAGGATATGTGACCATTTGTGGGAATATGCTGAATTTAGTCTAGGAAAAATTTAGGTTGACTTCTTTGAGTACCATACAAATATGAAGTCTGTAATTAAATAATTTGTCCTGAATTTAAGCATATTATTATAGACTGAAGACATAGATTTGGAAATTTTCCTTTGTAGACAATAATTAAAATTATGAAAGAGCATGAGATAACTCAGGAAAGGTATTTTCGATGACAAAAGAAGAGAATCATGGCTACGTGTAGGAAATGGATCAGGAAATACTGTACATTCCACATATACAATGGAATACTGTATATACTGTATATATAGTATTTCATTGTGTATACTCAGAGAGAACCTTCAGAGAACCAAGTCAAGAATGGAGACTGCTTCAGTGAAAATAAATGATAAAATATTGTGAAATATAATAAAGATCAGATGGGCTAAGCACTGCAAGAGAGTATTAGATTATCAGTTAAGAGGTGATTAGCGCCCCTTCACAACGGTTTTTGTGTTGAAAATTTACAGACTTGCCTGGGTGTGTAAATGTAAAATAAGATAACAGTGAGAACTGGTATTCATAGATTTTTTTTTTTTTTGGAACAAAATGCTTTATTTTTGGCTTGATTTTACATGAAAGTTTACTTGCCTATAAAATTATATGAATTATTAAAGAAGATAAAGTAAAATTGAATTTAAAACTAAAGAAAAGATATTACTACATTAGCTAAATGTCAAAGAAGTATGATAAATTTAATTACAATATGCTTTTTACATTAATATATTACCTCTGGAGATTTCTAATGCATTTTACAGTGAGTCCCACAAGAAAAATTAGCAATAAATGAAAGCTAAAAGAATACAATTACACACATATCTGATATATGGAAATAGAAACAAAAAACACTCAATGAGGTCTATCAGATACAGAAGTGTATAGTGCCTGCTGGAGCAGATGGCCAAATTGATGAGAATTTCAGACAGTTTACAGCCAGACATTAGGTCCAAAGTCAGTTCATTGGAAAAATATCGATACACCAACCTGAGAAAACTCAACAAAGAAGAAAAGAATGTATCAAATTCTAAGCATTGATTCATTTGATTCAGAGAGAAACATTTTGGTGAAAACTTGAGATTTCAAATTTTTATTTCCGAAAATAACCTGAAAAATCAGACAAACCATAAAGATTAAGATAAGTTAAATATTTAGGTTTAGTATAAACTAAATCGTCTCTACTTTCTATTTATAAATTGGAATTAATTGTTTGCTTAAAAAATACAGTACCACAGAAATTTTATGCCCAAATTGTTGGATAACAAAGATGACCTTTCTTATTGTATATTAATTAATGAAATGGTTAACAGTTGGCATATGGCATATGGCACTTCTTTCACACCACTGTGAGCCATGAATTTTAGATTTTTTTTTTTTTTTAAGTTCATTGGTAGGAGAAAGAGTAATAATAATATGGTAGCTATGAGGGTGCACAGGATTTCTCTTTTAAAAAAAAATCTATTTTTTTAATACTTTTATTTATCTGTTTGCTTTTTTTTAAGATTGTGGAGGAACTACTAGTAATTTGAGTCTAAGTTAAAAAAAGAACCTCTGAAAATGGAGAATTTAGAAATGAAATGGGCTAATAGGTGCTTGGGGTTCTTAAAAGAGGTTAGGACAGGATCAGCAAAGAAGAGCATGAGAACAGACTGGGGAAAAGAGAGAGAATCCGTCTTTTTTCAAATCAAAGAAAAGGGAAAGAGGCCAGGCACGGCATGGCGGCTCACACCTGTAATCCCAGCACTCTGGGAGGCCGAGGTGGGGGAATCACTTGAGATCAGGAGTTTGAGACCAGCTTGAGCAAGAGTGAGAATCCTGTCTCTACTAAAAATAGAAACAATCAGCCAGGCCTGGTGGTGCGTGCCTGTAGTCCCAGGTACTCAGGAGGCTGAGGCAGGAGGATCTCTTGAACCCAGGAGTTCTAGATTGCTGTGAGCTAGGCTGATGCCACAGCACTCTAGCCTGGGCAACACAGCAAGACTCTGTCTCAAAAAAAAAAAAAAAGAAAGAAACAGGAAAGAGAGATGGTCATCTATTGTTAATTACTATTAATATGTTATTGCCTTTCAACTTTTATATCAGAATAATTTCTCCTGTAACTGCCACGGTCAATCAATAAATTAATCAAGTTTTATCAGTGTGTTTTTCTGTATCTCCTCTATATACTGCTTCATTCTTCCACACCAGTGTACTAGAACAAACTCATGAATTTTAAAGTAGGTCTCTGAAAGAAGAGCTTTTTACAATCCATTGCAATTCTCTCTGTTAAAAGTTTGAGTGCATGCACCTAAATTAACTTCTTCTAAGAAAAATTAGGTGGATAAATTGGAAGCTCAAGACCACAGACTTTTACCTTCCAAACCAGGATGGACGTGAATTCCACCAAAGCATTGGAAAATATATATATATTTTTTACCAAATAATTTATTTGAAATCCAAATTAAAAAAACATTTCACAGTTGTGAAATATATGTTTATTCTAAAACTTCTGGTTAGTTGTACAACTAATCCATGACAAATGACCAGATTAATTTTACTTTATTTCTTTAGGCCTGGGGTTTTCCAATGATTTCAAATTTGGGCTCTTCAAATATGAAGTTAGGGAACGTATTCATATCTGATTTACCATACATTTGCTTAAGCTTAAAATGCTCCCTCTCCAGCTCTTGCTGGTATTCTGGGCCAGTATCGACAGGTCCCCCAGTTGCCTGTCGCTAAGATCTGTATTCTCTGCTCTTGTCCACGAAGAGTTTCTGTGTAGGATCAAGTTCCTTATTAAATGCCCCTGCTGTTAACACCAACGTTCCTCCACAAATGGACTGAGACTGCTGCTTGAATGACAGAAGAGAACCTGAAGATACTCTGAAGAATCACGGTGATTCTGTTGCTTGTATTCAGTCCACAGCTGCCAAAGCCACTGCTGCTGCCACCATTCTACTTCTGGCCCTTGAGTCTTGGAAAGTAATAATGTACTATCAGAGCAGTTTTTTCCTAGAACAAGGAGAATCTATAGAATGCTTATAATAACTATATACTAGTAATGGAATATGACAATCCCTTATAGAGGAAGGGTATAATAGATGCACCCCACATAGAAAAATAAAATTAAATATGGCAGATAAAAGTTCTTTAAAGAACACTTTATTGAGATATGATTCCATGTAAAAAGCTGTACATTTTAAATGCATACAACTTGATGAGTTTGAGAATAAGTATATACCCAGGAAACCATCACCACCCTCAAGGCTATAGATATATTGATCATGTCCCAAAGTTTTCTCCTGCATCCTTTATTATCATTATCATTATATTTGTTTGTGCATGATGCTAACACTTAACACAAGATCTATTCTCTTAGCAAATTTTAAGTATGTGATGCAATATTGTTTCAGGCACTATGCTATATAACAGATCTGCATTTCCACGTTCATTGCAGCAGTATTAATAGTAGTCAAGATATGGAAATAACCCAAATGTCCATTAGAAGATGAATGATAAAGAAAATGTGATATGTGTGTATGTATGTATATATACACAATGAAATATTATTCAGCTTTGAATAAAAAGAGGGAAATCCTACCACTTGCAACGACGTGGGCGGGCAGGAAAGACATTATGCTAAGTGAAATAAGCCAGACACTGAAAGACAAATACTGTATGATCTCACTCATATGGGGAATCCAAAAATGCTGATCTCATGGAAGCAGAGGGAAAATGATGTCTTCCAGGCTAGGGGGAAGAGGAAATGGGAAAGCAATAGTCAAAATATAGAAAGTTTCAGTTGTGCAAAATAAGTTTTGGATATCTGCAATACAGCAAATAAAATTTCTTAAATTTATATTGACTGTCCTATAACAATCATAGTGAACACTCAGCTGTTATCATTATAATAGATAAATACACAATAATATCATGTGAATCAGTGAATGTTGTAAAAAGAGGTTTGTATGTAATTGTTACGATGGATAACAAAATATATTTCAGATAAAACTGTAGATCTAAGTAATTATCAAAAATTTTAAATTTTATTTTGTCATGAAATGAAGTAAAAGAACAATTTCTTTTATCAGCTCAGCATTACATAAACAAACTGTAATGATTTATTGTCTTTAGCTCCTTAGATGTGACTGACCGTTCATACATTTCATTGCAGAAACTTTAATGTGTTTGATTATAGGGTTCGAGTTCAGACTTTACTCAGGCTGTTACATAATGCTTATACTACCTTCCTAAAATCTAAAAAACTTCTGAATTCCAAACTCCTTTGCTGTTTGTATGAGTTATTTATTGCTGTTACAAACCACTCCCAAATCCTGTGTCTTGTAAAGACATTTATTTATGGGCTCACAATGGTGAGTCAGCAATTTGGGTTAGGCTCAGCTGGGCAGTTTTGCTGCTTGCATCTGGGCTTACTCATGTGACTCAGTCACATGGGGACTGGAGTGAGGTTGGATCGTCTAGGATGGCCTCATGTCTGCTGGTTGTCTGGCTATCATCTGGTTCTCCACCAATGCTTCTTCAACAAACTAGCTGGAGCTTGTTTGCATAGTGTCTGTATACTAAGAGAGCAAAAACAGAAACTATAAGGCCTCTTGACGTCTGGGTTTGGAAGTTATCCAAAGTTATTCAAGTTATTCATTTTCACCACATGTTATTAATGAAAGTAAATCACAAATCATCACAGTTGAAGAAGCAGAGAAATAGTGTTCTCTCTCATGGGTCTAGCTACAAAGAATTTGTGGCCACTTTGCATCTACCATAGCGATGTTTCTCATACAGGATTTTGGATCCACATTGTCAGAGGAGGGTCGAAACTATCAAGGAAAATGTTCCTGTTGCTAATGGAGTATCTAATTCTGGAAACCAGTTTTGATTCTCTTTATAGAATTAGTGATAGAAGATAAGAATAAAAACCCAAAAGTAAGGTATCCAATTATTTATTTAAAACTAGGGAGAATATTATTACAAATCCCTGGCAAATGCTAAAAGAATGGAGGTGAAAGTCAACAGAAATGATGATGATATAGAACTGTGTGAATAGGGCATTCTATGGAGGCAGCTTGCATCTTGCTGAATCTGCCCTGTGATTTATAAGCTGTAAGTGAATGAGGATGCCCAGGAGCTACCTACCAGGGAAAACAGTGTGTCAGGGAAAAGAGAGCTGTCAGTTAAGGCAAAGAGATATAAATAGAGAGTGTGTGAAGAGAATGAGGATTATATTTGTCTATTTTTAAAAATGGAACAAGAGGACACAATAGAAAAAGATCAAATGGAAAAGGTGAGCCTAGGGGATTCTAGGTTCAGATCTTTGAAAGAAGCCATTTGTGCTTGAATATTTGATATGACCATTTGTATTGAAAATTTGAAAAAAATCTGTTTTTGCTGATAGAATGGCACATCTTCTGTCTGCTGATTATGATTCAGGAAAAGAACATAAAGACTTGGGAAACAATTTTTGTTTGGATAATAAAGGGCAGGCAAATATTGTACGCGTTCCTTGAGTGAATCAACTCAATGAACTGGAACTTAGAACTAAGAACACATAAAAGGAAAGATAAATATTAATCTACCTTTGTACAAAGACAGTTTGCATTGAATGTTGAGTGCTTGTCATTTAGGTCATCTTAGGGCAAGAAAACACTGAAGCTAGAAAAAGATGTAAGTTTAAGAGGAAAGGAGGAGATAGCTGCCATTTAAAGATAGACGAAGAAAGTTATACTTCACCCCTGCCTCTGGGTATACAGGGGCCTTGGAAATTCAATCAGAGCCATATAAGTCTTAGGCTAAACCAATTACCTGGGGGTGCCCTTTCAGTGTCCTCTTTCCTTTCACCTCCCATGTACTTCACCAGTAAAAAATATTGTTTCTCACAGAGAAGACTGGAGAGCCCTGAGAAAGTTTCCCCCATGGTACAGGTAGGGAGGGGAATAGCAGGTACTGGAAGAATAGTACAAAACTCCATTAGAACCCTTTATCTCCTGCTTTCATGTTGGAAAAAAAGCCTTAATCTGTCAGAGTTGTTGGTGGAAACAAAAATGTCAGTCTTAGAGTACAGATGAAAACTATTTGCAGCTGGGAGAAGATAATAGAAAAACTCTGTCTATGAAGATGAGCAAAGTTAAATAGCAGGCCCAGAACCGCAGCAGGAGGAGAGTCAACAGCACTTACACAGGCCACACTCTTGACCAGCGAGTGCCTGCCTAACATGGAGTCTTACTCAGATCGTCACACATGATCCCCTCAACCCACCTCACTGGGCTAACACGGGTCAAGTAACAGGAACTATGAAATACTTCTGGCAGAGCTACATGAGATGTAATTTCTGAATTATGTCACAAAGGGAACGTCTAAAGCTGAATAAGGAGACGATATTAAGAATGATTCTCTGATAAATCAGCCCCACTAGAGGAATTTGAAGTCTGTAGTTCACTGAGTATAACCATAGAAACAAAAAAATTCTCACATCTAGCTCAGTGAGATTAATAAAAATCCCTGTGCTAAGGAAAGATCTAACAGAAGGAAAAGTCTGCCCATATCCAAGCAAAAATCTATTTAGTTCAGTGTCTATTGTCTTACGTAAAGTGTCCATGTTCAACAAAAAATTACGAGGCATATGAAAGTCAAGGAAATGAACATATTCCCAAGATTCAAATAAATTTGCACTAGACTCAGATGTGACACAGACACTAAAATCATCTGACAGGGAATTTAAAATTATTATATTAAAGGCTCTAATGGAAAAGGAGATCAACATACAGGATCATATGGGTAATTTCAGCAAAATGATGGAAACTTTAAAAAATCAAATGGAAATGCTACCGGTCTAAAACACAGTAACAGAGAAGAAAAATTCCTATAACCAGCTCATTCATATACTCCACACAGCTGAGTCAAGAAATTATTGAACTTAAAAGGAGTTCACTAAAAATCACCAAATTCAAAACACAAAAATAAAAAGTAATATTAATTAACTTAAATTTGCTTTGAATTGCTATGTAGCAAAATGCAATGTAACTTAGTACGTAAACTGCAACATAAGTATATTCTTGCAAAAGGAAGCTGAGTCTCAGCCAATCATAGCAGGCAAGATTCAGCCAATTACAGGCTGCCAACTAATCACACCATCCCCAAATAAGGCAAATGCTGAGCTGAAACCGATCAAGCTGTTTCTGTATGTCACTCACTTCCTTTACCTGTTGATACTGTCTTCCCAAGTGGCTGGGTGGAGCTCTTAGAACCTCTCCTGGTTCTGAGTGCTGCCTGATTCATTAATCATTCTTTGCTCAAATGAACTCTGCTAAATTTAATTTGTCAAAAGTTTGCCTTTTAACAGCAGAAATAAAAAAACAGAACAGAGAAAAAGAAAAGAGAATGAGGTAGAGGAGTATCTGAAGAAACAACAGCTATGAATTTTCCAAAATTAATAACAGATACCAAATCAGAAGACCTGAAGCTCAGAGAATACTAAATAAGATGTATAAATAAACACAGCATGGTTATCATACTCAAGCTGCTAAAACCAAAAGCCAAAGAGAAAATCCTGAAAGTAGACACAGGGGAAAGAAAGACACATTACCTACAGTG